CCCCCTTACTCCTGAGTCTACGGATGTGTTTGAGTTGACTTGGGAGTAAGGCTGAATCTATCTTGATACTATGCAGAATCCTGATTGATCCCGAGTATGCGATTTTATTTTCCAAATCACATATGATCTTTTTTTTTTCTTTTTGTATGTTGCCCGAGACAGGCTGCGGCTTTGGCTGGCCGGGGTGCGTGCTTCCGGCCGAGGCGCCGCCTCGACCGATCGTGGCCGAGGCGTGCACCTCGGCCGATCGCTCGTGGCCGAGGCGTGCGCCTCGGCCGATCGTGGTCGAGGCGTCGCCTCGACCGATCGTGGCCGAGGCGTGCGCCTCGGCTGATCGTGGTCAAGGCGTCGCCTCGACCGATCGTGGTCGAGGCGTGTGCCTCGGCCGATCGTGGTCAAGGCGTCGCCTCCACCGATTGTGGTCGAGGCGTCGCCTCGACCGATCGTGGCCGAGGCGTACGACTCAACCGAAAGTGGCCGAGGCGTCGTCTCGACCGATCGTGGCCGAGGCGGGCTCTGGCCTATTGTTTTTTTTGTTTTTTTTTTTTAGCTTTGCGGCGTGGGCCGGCTTCGGGCTGGGGCGCCGCCACAGCCTGGCCGAGGCACCGCGCTTCGGCCACAGCCGAGGCGTGCGCCTCGGCCAGATGGTCTGAGGCGTCTCAGCCCCTTGGCCGAGGCGTGTGCCTCGGCCAGATGGCTGAGGCGTGCGTCTCGGCCAGATGGCTGAGGACGCCTCAGCCACTTGGCCGAGGCGTGTGGCCTTTTTTGTCGGCGTGGGGTCGGCTCCTGAGACTCGCCCACCTCCTCTGTGGGTGATCTCTCGGCTTCTCTGTTTTCGTGTTGGCGAGGGCCTCTGGTCGAGGACCCCTTGACCCGTGATCATAATCTTTGCCGCACGGGCGCCCTCTGTCCCAATCGTTCTGGTGCAGATTGGGAAGGGCCTGGTTGTCGTCTGGCCGGTCCACTTCTTTGGGTCTCTACCCCTATTTGCTGGGGCCGCGGCGTGGGCACTTGGCCTTGCAGTCCCACCGCCACCTGATTTAGCGCCGCCGTCACTGCTTGCTGAATGACATCGGCGGTCGCCTGGAGGTTCACGGCTTAGTTCGCCCCTCCACTGTTGAGTTGGTCTCGAAGGTCCTCGGGCCTCCCGTTGTTGAGCTGTTCTCGAAGGTCCCCTCCGCGATTGTTGGTGAGTTGGTCCCGGAGGTCACCTGAGGCATTGCCATTGTTCACGTTGCGGGAAACGTGCGAGCTGTGGGACACCATTCTTTCAAACTTGCTGTTGAAAGAGGAGTGAGTTGTGCCGTCGCCTGCTTGAGTGTTGAGTTCAGCTCTCAATGAATGCACCAATGACGGTAAATATGTTACCGGATAATAATATAATTAGAATAACGTAATGTGAGAGTGTGACAACAGCTGTTATTGCCCAATGTTTCAATATAGAAAATACAGTGTGTCTTTGTCTAGAGTATTGAACGTGTCCCCTCTGCTGAGGAGATGTCCTACTTATATCAAGCTCCTAACGGTAACATCATAATGAGGCATAATGAAGAGCTGAGCATTCATTCCTCTCTCTCTTCAATGGTGGTGTAGTAAATGACCCTGTGGTAACGTTCCGTCCATTAGTAATCTGCCCGTTGGAGTTCTGCCCGTTGGGTTTTCATGTGGTGCCGGGTCAGGAAACGTTTGACAACCCGGGTCAGGTGCTGGCCCCATTACTCTGTCAGATATCCAGGGTCATTACTCGGTGAGACACGGTTATAGAATGTTGACGCAGGCTGCTCCACCGCAATTGCAAACAACATTTGTGGAGTGGCGGCTGAGAGTCCCTCCCAAAATAAAGAATTTCTTATGCCGTTGTATGAGAGATATCCTGCCAGTGTGTGAGGTGCGCAAAACCAAAAGGGTTTACGTGGGAGGTGGCTGTCCGATCTACGACACATCACTAAAGACCATTGCCCATATTCTGTGTGAGTGTCCATTGGCTTGCCAATTGTGGGGTGTGGGTGACGTGCTGAATGGTGTATCTTTAGAGGAGTTCATGCAGGAGAAGTTGTTATGTATTTTGTTGATTTTATTGGGAAGAGATATTTTTTAGGAATTGGACGGAAAGTTAAAGGAAGCTCTATCCTGGATGAATAGTCGTAGTCAAGCTATGTATTTTGTTGAGACAAATTGTTTACGTAGATGTATAAAGGGAATTGTATTACACTATTTTAAAATTTTAGAATAGAATTTTTACCCAGAATTATTGTACGAATGGGAAAGTAGAAATCAATATATTTTATTGGGAAGAGATATTTTTTAGGAATTGGACGGGAAGTTAAAATTCGAGGATTTTGTTATTATATATAGTATAGATGTACAAAGGGAATTGTATTACACAATTTTAAAATTTTAGAATAGAATTTTTACCTAGAATTATTGTACGAATGGGAAAGTATAAATTAATATATTTTATTGGGAAGAGAGATTTTTTAGCAATTGGGCGGGAAGTTAAAATTTCATGATTTTGTTATTATATATAGTATAGAAGTATAGATGTACAAAGGGAATTGTATTACACTATTTTAAAATTTTAGAATCGAATTTTTACCCAGAATTATTGTACGAATGTGAAAGTAGAAATCAATATATTTTATTGGGAAGAGAGATTTTTTAGCAATTGGGTGGGAAGTTAAAATTTCATGATTTTGTTATTATATATAGTATAGAAGTATAGATGTACAAAGGGAATTGTATTACACTATTTTAAAATTTTAGAATAAAATTTTTACCTAGAATTATTGTGCGAATGTGAAAGTAGAAATCAATATATTTTATTGGGAAGAGAGATTTTTTAGGAATTGGGCGGAAAGTAAAAATTTCATGATTTTTTAACTTCCCGCCCAATTCCTAAAAAATCTCTCTTCCTAATAAAATATATTGATTTCTACTTTCTATTCGTACAATAATTCTGCGTTAAAATTTTATTCTAATATTATAAAATAGTGTAATACAATCTATACTATAGAGTTAATTCCAGGTCCTCCGACTATGTTGATTTTTCATAATTGGTCCTTGACTTTTAATTTGGACAATTTAGACACTTGACTTTTAAAACCTTTCCAATGTTGGTCCTTCCGTCAAATGAAAGTTAAGTAGTGGTTAGCTTGAGGGGTAAAGTAGTCATTTAGCATGCTTATAGTATAATCCATGCATCGTCTTCCTCCCTTCGCGACATACATCAGCAAAATCCCCAAATGTCATCCTTGTGGGGTTGAAAACTGCGAGTAGGCGGAGTAGTGCAGGTGATATATCCCAAGATGTTGATCGGTTTGCTGCCATTCTTTCCGGCGTTGCAAACAAATTCAGTCCGCCGGAAATCCCCACATCGTTGACTGCGTCTCCGACATAATTGAGTCCAAGGTCGCCTCCGCCGGAGAGTGTCGGAACAGGACGGCTATAGAAGATGATGTTCCGCGATTGATGGAAGTAGTTAAGAGGTTGGCGAAGCTGAGGGATGGATTCGCGAAGTTTCTAGACCTCACACCCTCGCTGAACCGGACCAGCACCGTCGTGCATCTGGCGATAGCGTTCTTAGAAGACGAATTCTGGTACTTGCTAGAAGATTCGAGAAACCAAATTTCGTTTAATCATTCTAAGCAGGCGGATGAAGAGTCCAATGGTGGAGACGATGAGAAATACCCAGAGGTGAGGAGAATGAAGATGATCGCCGGCGCCATGGTTTTGACCGGATATTAAACGGAATACTGCCAGGTTTATTCGATTGTGAGTTGGAATTGGTTTTCCGAGCAGATGAAAACGCTCGAATTCGAGAAGTTGAATATGGAGGACGTGCAGAGAGAACTTGTTTCTTCCATAGCTTTTTTTTTTTGTGAAAAGCTAGATTATGTAACAGAACAGAAAGATCAAAGATGCAGTATATTATCAGCTAAGAATAACAGGAGGAATCCATGCAGTGATAACACCCTTTTTCCATAACAGTATGGTGGGTTTGGAAATGGTGAAATGAAATGGTTTTTAATGGTACGTCCAAACCGTTACTATCTAAGATTTCATGGATTAATTAGGCTCAGCTTGATGAAGTCACATCAGCCTTTGTTAAGGCTGAATCCCTTAGATCATCTGTTACGTCCAATGCATAGAAGCGGCTCACTTGGTCCAAACTGCATGAAGGATTTCTGAAGGTGAATGTTGATGGCTCTTTTGATCCATCCTCGGGCAAGGCAACCTGTGGGGGAGCCACCAGGGACAATAATGGAGGCTGGAAACAAGGGTATATTTTCAACATAGGGAACTGCTCTCCACTTGAAGCTGAGTCCTGGGCCCTTTTGAAGGGGATACAACTGGCCATTCATATGGGTATAACGAAGGCAATTTTTTAATCTGATTCTACCCTTCTTGTGAACTACATGCTGAGCTCCAGACCACCTTGCATTGCGGCTCACAACATTTCAGAGGCATATATGGTGTTGAAATCTGGTGCACTCGTAATTTAGTGCAAACTTGAGAAATGGACAGCCATCAATGGCTTCGCTTAGCAGGCCCAACATGTTCCTCTAATCTTGGTTGAACTTCGCAGGCTGAGAATTGAAAGACGATGGATTATATCTAAGTTTGTGAAATGACTATTTTACCCTTAAAACTAACGTTTACTTAACCTTCATCTAACGGAAGGACCAACATTGGAAAGATTTCAAAAGTCAAGTGTCTAAATTGTCCAAATTAAAAGTCAGGGACCAAATGTGGAAAATCAACATAGTCGGAGGACCATTGCTGGAATTAACTCTATACTATATATAGAAACAAAATCCTGAAATTTTAACTTCACTTCGTCTCTCTCTAGGGTTTCTTTCTAGAGTTTCTCTCTAATTCCCTACTAGGGTTTGCCTAGGGTTTCGTACGTTGACCAGCAGGGTTTTCTGACGAGTCTTTGTCCGCTCCAGCGTGGTTTGTGACGTCGGGAAGGACGCATGGAACGACAGAATCATGCGGCGATGGAGGAGGGGTTGGCGGAACGAGGTTTGCGGCGTCGGGAAGGAAGTCTGGAACAACAGAATCATGCGGCGATTGAGGAGGAATTGTTAGAAGGGTATGCGGGCATCTCTTTGCTCGACGAGGAGGAGATGTTGATTCCGGCAGGGGGGGTTGTTGCGCCGGCGATGGGGGTGGATCGGAGGGCCGTACATGGATTCTTGTTGGAAGGTTTTTGACGCGAAAGATGGTGAAGCTTGAATTCATGCGGGAGGTGTTGGCTTCCGTATGGCAGCCCGTGTGTGGTGTGCAGGTTTCAGAGTTGCAACCGAATCTTTTTATGTTTGTTTTCTATCATCAGACAGATTTGCAACGTGTGATTGATGAGAGGCCGTGGTCCTTTGATAACCATACCTTGGTGTGTCGACCGGTGGAAGATGGGATGCTACCGAATGATGTGGTTCTTGATACGGTTGATATGTGGGTCCAGGTCTATGGACTCCCGATGGGTTATACATCAATGATCATACAGGAGCAGGTTGGTAATTTTCTGGGAGGTTTTCTGAAGGGCGATGAGAGGTTTGATGATCGTCCGTGGAAGGCGTTCTACCGGATCCGTGTTAGTATTCCGGTGGCTAAACCGTTGCGTCGAAGAATGAAATTTGCAAAGCGGGATAAGTCTTGGTGTTGGGTGACATTCAAGTATGAAAGGCTGCACACTTTTTGCTTCTTCTGTGGCTTACTGGGCCATTCATACAAGTTCTGTTTACAGGCGCGAAATTCGACTCTCGCTTTGGATCAGTATCTGTATGGGGTGGAGATGAAGGCGGGGTTACCACGCGGCCCTAGGCCAGTGGGCAGTTCGTGGCTGGTTCCCGTTGGGGGGAAGAGGGAGGAGGTGGCCGAGAGGGGAGGTAGGCCGTGTGCTACGGGTGGGGGGGTTGCGGTGGGGGCTTTGGTGGAGGGCCGACCGGTGAGTGGCGAGGGGGTGGTGTGTGGTCCGAAAAGGCGCAGGGAAGTAGGGATGGCAATGTGCCCCGTCCCCGTCGGGGATCCCCGCCCCCGTTGGCGATGGGGACGGGGACGGGGAAAAAATTCGGGGATCAGGGACGGGGATGGGGAACTTGTGAAATTCCCCGGCGGGGACGGGGACGGGGATGGGGATACCCCTCCCCGCCCCGCCCCGTCCCCGAATAATTAAAGTTTTTTTCTACCTATCGCTAATACCGTGTACTATTGATTTAAAAATAATTAGTTAGTTACACAAAGCATTGTTGTGTACTGTTTATATTGAATATTACATAGAATGTATGTAATTAAGCATAACTACATAAAGCATGTTGTACTGTGTATATTATTGAATATTTATATGTATTTAAATTTTGAACATAATTATATAAATCATTGCCATACTAATATTGTGTATATATTCAAATATATTATATATTATTGAATATTGAATGTTGAATTTTTTTTATTTTTAAAAATTGTACTAGTTTGACACTTTGACTATGGGTTGATCGGGGATGGGGATTCCCCGTCCCCGCCAAATTCCCCGCGGGAACGGGGACGGGGAATTTTTTCAAATCCCCGCCGGGGATGGGGACGGGGACGGGGACAGTGTCGGGGTAGCGAGGACGGGGACGGGGAGTATACTCCCCGCCCCCGCCCCGCCCCGTTGCCATCCCTATAGGGAAGAGGGGGGTACTGAGGATCTCACGGGGAGGGATGGTGAGGGAGTGGTGGAGAGGGTTGGGGAGGATGTGGCAATGGCGGATATTTCAAAAAACTTGTTCATGGCGGGCTCTGGTTCCCAGACCCGCCCATCCTTATGAGTACCTTGAGTTGGAACTGTCGTGGCTTGGGTGATCCACGAACATTTCGGGAAGTAGTGGATATGGCATCCAGAAAGAAACCCGATTTTATTTTTCTTATGGAAACGAAGGTTGCTAGAGATCATGTTGAACGGTTGCGGGTGAAACTAGGGTTCCAGGGGTTGTTCTATGTGGATAATAGGGGGCGTAGTGGAGGTTTGGCACTGTTGTGGAAAACGAATGATACGGTGCGTCTGCTAGGTTACTCTCGTAACCATGTGGATGTCGAGGTACGTATGGATGGTTTTGCGCCCTAGAGGATGACGTGTTTTTACGGTTTCCCGGATCGTGGGGACAGAGAGGAGTCATGGAATCTTTTGAGACACTTGAGTTCCCGGTCTACGCTGCCTTGGGTGGTCTTGGGGGATTTCAATGACTTGCTTTTTCAGTATGAGAAGAGGGGACGTTGCAGACATCCCGAATCGCTGTTGAGGGGTTTTGGTGAAACACTTGAGGACTGCGGCTTGATACAGATCCCCATGATTGGTTATCAGTTTACATGGGAGAAGGGGGAGGGGACGGAGGATTGGATAGAGGAGAAGTTGGATAGAGTTGTAGCGACTGATGAGTGGCGAGGGGTGGTGGAAGGAGCCCGGGTCTATAATGTACTGACCAGGAGATCGGATCATTCGGCTCTCTTCCTGGACATACGGCCAGGGGGGGTTTATGTGTTGGTCCGCGAGATTTTCGTTTTGAGATGGCCTGGCTGCTGGATGAGGGATGTAGGGAGGTGGTGGAAGAGGCATGGGGACATGGGGTGGAGGATCTACAGGCCCGGGTAGAGAGATGTGGCGTAAAGCTACAGAAGTGGGGTGGTAACCGTTTCCATAAGTTTGGGAAACGGATCGCTAGTCTCAAGAAACAACAATTGAATTGCCGTGGTCGTCTGAGCCCCCAGGCGTTAGCAGACTTTCACCGTCTGGAATCTGAGTTAGTAAGATTGGAGAAGCAGGAGGATGTATTCTGGAGACAAAGGGCGAAGCAGCATTGGCTTCGTGGGGCGGATGCAAACACTCGCTTCTATCACAGGTATGCTTCTGCCCGAAAGCGTAAGAATACTATTTTACGACTTAAAGATGAGTTAGGGGGATGGGTAGATGGTGATGGTATGAGAGCAGTTGTAATGAGTTATTTTAATAATATTTTTGCTGCTAACCCCGATGTGAGTAATGGAGCGGACTTTTTTGCCTCTATCCCTACTCATGTTACCGACACCCATAATGAATGGCTGAACCGGCCGTATGACCCGGGGGAGGTGAAAGATGCGTTGTTTTCTATGTTTCCAGACAAAGCACCGGGACCGGATGGAATGAATCCGGGTTTTTATCAGAAGTTTTGGGACATAGTTGGTCCAGATGTGACTAGTTGTGTGCTTTAGTGTCTGAATACGGGGTCCTTGCCAACTGGTCTTAATGAATCAAATATTGTGCTTATTCCGAAAACGCAGTCCCCTGAGATGGTCACGGATCTACGCCCGATTGCCTTGAGTAATGTTGTTTATAAGATTATTGCAAAAGTAATCGCTAATCGTATGAAGCCCCTTTTAGGCGATATTATTTCTGTATCGCAGAGTGCATTTATTCCTGACAGGTTGATTACTGATAATATCTTGATAGCTGCCGAGGTTGGACATTTTCTTAATAGGAAGCAGTTGGGTAAGGTGGGGTGGGGAGCTTTGAAGTTGGATATGGCAAAAGCCTATGATAAGATGGAATGGGCATTTTTGAGAAACATGATGTTGGCTTTAGGCTTCCAGGTGGGATGGGTAAATCTAATTATGTAGTGTGTCACTACTGTTTCATATAATATTATGATTAATGGTGTGTCTGGAGGACAGTTAACCCCATCTCGCGGGCTCCGTCAGGGGATCCTTTGTCCCCATACTTGTTTCTTATCTGTGCGGAGGGGTTATCATTGTTGTTACAACAGGCTCAGGATAGAGGTGATGTACATGGTTTAAGGGTGGCGAGAGGAGCACCTGCTCTCTCACATCTTTTGTTTGCGGATGACAGCCTCCTATTCTTTAAGGCAAATGTTGGTGAGGCACAGGCAGTTAAACGGTGTCTTACTGATTATGAGAAGCTTTCTGGTCAGACTATTAATTATAATAAGTCAAATATTTGCTTTAGTAGGAACACTCAGCAGGTTGAAAGAAATTTGGTGGCGGCACAATTTGGGGTTCATCAAGCACAAAATTTTGGAAAATATTTGGGGCTGCCAGCATTTGTGGGGAGGAATAAACAGGCGGTGTTTGCTTATGTGGAGGATAAGGTGAGACAGAGAATTGGCTCCTGGAATAAGAAACTTTTGTCTAGAGCAGGTAAAGAAATTCTACTCAAATCGGTGGCACAGGCAATGCCAACGTTTACTATGAGTGTGTTTTTGTTACCTGACTCACTATGCAAGAACCTGGAGCGTGTTATGAATAGATTCTGGTGACGCAATGGGAGGGATGGGGGGAATACATTGGCTCGCCTGGGATAAAATGAGTGTACCAATGAAATATGGGGGCCTAGGTTTTAAGGATTTGAGAGCTTTTAATGTGGCTATGCTGGGTAAGCAGGGCTAGAGATTTTTGACAGACCCCCATTCTCTAGTGGCAAGAATATATAAGGCGAGGTATTACCCAAAGTCAGATTTTTTGAATGCCTCAGTTGGAAATAATCCAAGTTTCCCATGGAGAAGTATAATGGCTGCCCAGGGACTCATTATCCAAAATATTAGGCGGAGGACTGGAAATGGGGACTCCACTTTGGTTTGGGGTGACCCGTGGTTGCCGTGTGAATCTGAGCCAAGAATTATGTCACAGAAACCTCCCCACCTTGGGGAAGTCAAAGTTTCTGGGTTAATTGATCCGGCATCAGCTTCCTGGGACATGCCTTTGCTTAATGAGCTATTTCCTGCCGTGGAGGCAGAGCGGATTGCGGCTGTTCCAATTAGTCTGGCCTATGATGATATGCGGTATTGGCATGGGGACCCCAAAGGAATTTATACGGTAAAAGCTGCCTATCGTAATTTAATGGGAACCATTACTGTACCCCCAAATGGTTTCACATCTTGGAATAAAATTTGGAACCTAAAGGTACCCCCGAAGTGGAAAGTTTTCGTGTGGAGAGCTGTGAGAGGAGTATTACCCACCACTATGAACCTTTATAATAGGAGGGTAGATGTCCCATTAGCATGCCCTTTGTGTGTCCTAACCTCTGAAAATATTTTACATTCATTAGTACAATGTGAATTTTCTAAATGTGTGTGGAATATTTCGGGTTTTGACGTGCAGAGTACGGTGGATGATGACTTTAGTGTGTGGCTGGAATTATTGCTACGAAATGTTGATGGGAAACAATTTATTTCTATGGTGGCCATTATGTACAATATTTGGATGCAACGGAATACAGCGGTGTGGGAGCATAAGGTGGGTAGACCACGGCTTGTGTTCGAACAGGCAATGGCTACTTTGTCGGCGTGGTGTTCGGCTACGGGCCGCATGGAGAGGCAGCAGCCGTCTCATGCTGCCACTGCCGTCAGCGGGCAGTCCGAGACACGGCGGACTACTGCCGTCACTGGGCAGTCCGAGACACAGCTCCGCTGCTCCCTTGACGCAGCTTATTCAGCCACAACGCGAAAGGGGGCGTAAGGCATTTTACTCCAGGATGCGAATGGAAATTTTTTGGCAGCCAAAAACGGTCTTTTACCGCTATGTCAGGGACCATTTATGGCGGAGGCGTATGCATGTAAGGAGGCCCTATCCTGGCTTAGGGAATGTGGAGTCACGAAGGTGGAGCTACGGTCAGATTGTTCGAATCTATGTCACGCACTTGGTAATTCAGCGACTGAGTTTCGCACTTATGATGGTTTAGCTGTTTCAGCATGTCGGGATTTGATGAATCTTTTTATTTCCTGCTCTGTTGTTTATATTCCTCGTTCTTTAAATATTTTAGCTCATTCGTTAGCTCAGTCAGCCTCTACGCAGGCAAACTCTATGTTGTGGGAGGATAACCCTCCTTCCTTTATTTCGGCTTTGATTGATTAATATATACAGCAGTTTACTTTCAAAAAAACTTCACTCCCAATTCCTAAAAAATCTCTTTCCTAATAAAATATATTGATTTCTACTTTCCCATTCGTACAATAATTCTGCGTTAAAATTCTATTCTAATATTATAAAATAGTGTAATACAATCTATACTATATATAAAAACAAAATCCTGAAATTTTAACTTCCCGCCCAATTCCTAAAAAATCTCTCTTCCTAATAAAATATATTGATTTCTACTTTCCCATTTGTACAATAATTCTGCGTTAAAATTCTATTCTAATATTATAAAATAGTGTAATACAATGTATACTATATTTAAAAACAAAATCCTTGAAATTTTAACTTCCCGCCCAAGTCCTAAAAAATCTCTCTTCCCAATAAAATATATTGATTTCTACTTTCCCATTCGTACAATAATTCTAGGTAAAAATTCTATTCTAAAATTATAAAATAGTGTAATACAAATCCCTTTGCACATCTATATCTATACTTCTATACTACATATAAAAACAAAATCCTGAAATTTTAACTTCCCGCCAAATTCCTAAAAAATCTCTCTTTCCAATAAAATATATTGATTTCTACTTTCCCATTCGTACAATAATTCTGGGTAAAAATTCTATTCAAAAATTGTAAAATAGTGTAATACAAATCTCTTTGCACATCTATACTATATATAAAAACAAAATCCTGAAATTTTTACTTTCCGCCCAATCCCTAAAAAATCTTTTATCTCAATAAAATGTATTGATTTTTACTTTTCATTCGTACAAAAATTCTAGGTAAAAATTTCTATTCTGAAATTATAAAATAGTGTAATACAAATCCTATTGTAATCTATACTATATATTAAAAAAAATACTGAAATTTTAACTTCCCGCCCAATTCCTAAAAAATCTCTCTTCCCAATAAAATATATTGATTTCTAACTTCACATTCGTACAATAATTCTGGGTAAAAATTCTATTCTAAAATTATAAAATTGTGTAATACAAATCCCTTTGCACATGTATACTATATATAAAAAAAATCAGAAATTTTAACTTTCTGCCCAATTCCTAAAAAATCTCTCTTCCCAATAAAATATTCTTAATATATTACAACAATTTCATTATGTGCATCGCACGGGTGAAAATACTAGTAAAATTAAAACTAAAATAAATAAGAAGAAGACAAAAGGGTGCCATGGACTCCCCTTTGTAAATGATGTTGGATCATTTGATCCCACATTGAAAATGTTTAGAGAAGGAGCTTGAGCTCCTCTATATAAGAAGAGCAATGCTCCTTTTACAAACATAGTTGCTTGCCCATCAATGTGGGCAAGTATTGAGAAGTCCAAAGATTTTTTTTTTATTACTATTGACCCGATAAATTATGCTGTGGAATTGTGTCCACCTTGCAAGGTACACACGATTCCAAAATTGTTCATAATTATGAATATATAGTTCAACAATTATGAACATATAGTTCTATAATTACGAACATAGTGTTGTGAGCATTATTATGAAAATATAGTTATGTAATTATGAATATAGAGATTCAAAACTTATTTGGTAAGTAAATGTCAAATGGAAATTAAATAAAATCTATTAATTGGTAATATTATATATGATATTATATTCTATAATATAATATAATTGATAATATTATTGTTCAAGTATAAAATAAAATCAAAATAATAACAATAACAACAACAACAACAATAATAATAATAATAATAATAATAATAATAATAATAATAATAATAATAATAATAATAATAATAATAATTCAAACAAAACTATATACAAAATAAATTTAAAATTAAAAAAAAAAATAAGAAGAAGACAAAGGTGGCTCCCCTTAGTAAATGATGTGGGATACCCCGTGCCTCTCGCATGCGAAGCGAGCGCTCTACCATATGAGCTACACTCCCATGGATCCCACATTGAAAATGTTTGGAAATAGGAGCTTTTGATCTCCTCTATATAACCATACAATTGCTTTCCCATCAATTTGGGCAAGTATTGAGAAGTCCAAAGACTTTTTTAGTACTATATTGACTCGGCAAATTGTGTTGTGGAACCGTATCCATCTTGCAAGATAAACATGGTTCCAAAATTGTTCATAATTATGAATATATATAGTTATACTATTATGATCATAGTGTTGTGAACATAATTTTGAACATATAGTTTAGTAATTATGAACATAGAGTTCTGTAATTGTAAATATAGAGTTCAATAATTATGAATATGAAGTTCAAAGATTATGAATATATAACTTTATAATAATGAACATATAGTTCAGTAGTTATAACCATAGACTGTGTCCACCTTGCAAGGTGGACACAATTCCATTGTATAACTATTCGATTGACCCTGTTACATGTATACTTTCTCAACCTATTGAAGACCAACGTGTCAAAATGCTTTTATTTAAGAAACCTTATCTTAATGGCTTCTTATTTTAGTTTTTTTTTTAAAATTTTTTTAATTTATTAGGGGGTTTAAAAAAGATTAATCCAAAACGTATATGAGTTGTTTTAGTTTTTAGCAGTTTGGATCAAATTGCTAAGTTATTAAATAATATTTTTGGTGTTTTGATTAAATATAAAATGTTAAAAAGACGGATTTCTTAAAATTTTGACGAATTTGTCAAATAATCAAATTAGAATAACAACAACAACAACAACAATAATAATATCAACAACAACAACAACAATAATAACAACAACAACAACAACAATAATAATAATAATAATAATCCAAAACAAAACTATATACAAAATAAAATTAAAATTAAAATAAATAAATAAAAAAAAAAAAAAAAAAAAAAGAGTCACGGGCTCCCTTTGTAAATGATCTGGGATCATTTTGATCGCAAATTAAAAATGTTTGAAAAGAGAGAACAATCATCCTCTTACAAACATAATTGCTTGCACATCAATGTGGACAAATATTGAGAGGTTAAAATGTTCTTATTTAAAAAGTCTTAACTTTGTCTTCTTATTTTAGTTTTTATTTATTATTATTTATTTATTATTTATTATTAGTGGTGGGTTATGAAAGATTAACCCAAAATGTATGTGTTGTATTAGTTTTTAGCAGTTTGGAGAAAATTACCAAGTTATTATATAATTTTTTTGGTGTTTTGATTAAAGTTAAAATGTTAAAATGACGAATTTGTTAAAATTTTGGCGAATTTATCAATAATCAAATAATAATAATAATAATAATAATAATAATAATAATAATAATAATAATAATAATAATAATAATAATAATAATAATAATAATACAAACAAAACAATATACAAAATAAAATTAAAATTAAAAATAATAAGAAGAAGACAAAAGGGAGCCACGGACTCCCTTTGTAAATGATGTTGGATCATTTTGATCTCATATTGAAAATGTTTGAAAAAAGGAGTCTTTGAACTCCTCTATATATTACTTCTCTTACAAACACAATTGTTTGACCATCAATGTGGGTAAGTATTGAGAAGTCCAACGGCTCTTATTATTATTATTATTTTTTTTTTTTGAGTA